GCAGCAGCCGGTCCCCTCCCCCCAGCACAGGCCACGCAGACACAGCCATGAGGGGGCAGAGTTTAAGGGGAGCAACTGTCTCTTTGCCCCCGCCATAACTGCCCCATCCAGAGTGCCGGAGACAGTCGCTAGCTCAGCCCCAATGCTGCCCCCTAAACACCAACAGCTGGGACTGGGGGGACATTTAGTACAGCCCCCCCCCAGGATAGAACCCAGGAGTCCTGACTGCAGAGCTCCTGGGAGAGAAAAGTACCTATTGAGCAGCAGTGGAATGGTGGAAGCCAGGGTTCCTAGGCTGTATCCAAGACTGTGATCCAAGTGAGCTAGAGTGGGGGGATGGGAATCAGGACCACTGGATTTTATCCCCACTCTGAAAGGAGAGTGGGGTCTAGTGGTTGGAAGGGGCCTTTTGAGTCATCCTGGACAGAGTCAGAACTGCCCAGCCTGTCTCCCACTCCCTGCCTGCTCCCAGCTCTGGATCCACGTTCGCCCAGCCATGGGATGGGGACCGCCATGTCCCCCAAGAAAGCAGAAGCAACATGATCATTCAACACAAAGAACTTTATTAGACTGGGAGGAGGCAAAGGGGAAGGTCACACGGGAAGAGAAGGTGCTGACATTGGGGGGCTTTTCTCTCCCGGGGGCAATCATGTGGGGAGGTAGGGGGTGTCACCAGAGAAGGTGGAAGGCAGCATCTCTGGAACACCTCCTGTCTGGTGTGGGGGGGCTCTTCAAGGCTGGGCTGCCAGTTCCTTGGCATCGTCTGTGGGGAAAGAAAGTTGTGGGATTAGATCTGTGCATCTCAGGGCATTGGGGCAGCATGGGGAGGGATACAACAGTGGGGGGAGGGCAGAAGGAAGGCAGCATTTGGTACTCAACCCCCACTGGCCATGGGACCAGTGCCTCAGTACTCCCAACCTGCAGCTGGGTTTCTTCCCTCAGCTCTCTCATTCCCGACCCATGGCCCCCTGCAACGGCAGCCCTGTCGGTGCCCTTCAGTCCCGACCCACAGTCCCCTGCTATCCCACCCTGCTGGTCCCTTCGGTCCTGGTCCATGGCCCCCTGCAACGCCAGCCCTGCTGGTGCCCCTCAGTCCCGACCCACAGCCCCCTGCAATCCCACATGATGTTGTTCTAGGATTAGTGAGTGGTGGGTTCTATGGTTAGGGGTTCTCCGGAGTCACTCAGGCCCCCACCCGCCTCACTGCACACAGTGCTGAGTTGTGCTTACCCATTGGGGGGGGTCAGGATCAGGCTAGAAAGGAGAGAAAGGGGAAGGTGAATCCAGGGAATCCCCCCCAAACTCACCCAATGCCCACTGTGGGGAAGGAAAGGCGATCACCCCATCTACCCTTCCTGGGTACCTATAGGCTATGTCAGTGTCTTTGTGAAGCAGGAGAAGGGGGAGAGGCTACAGGCTTAGGGTGCAGGCAGAAGGGATATTCCCATTGGAAGGGAAGAGGGCTGAGGTGGTGGGGGGCAGGGCTGGTGGGAAGAGATGTGGAAGGATGGGTTAGAGTTTTGGGCTGGAGGGTGGGAAAGTGTTGGAGGATGTGGGGACAGGTCAGGAAGCTGTGGGGGTGAACCGGAGAGATTTTTGTGGTTGGGGGGATGGGGCAGCTAGGCGCAAGTGCCCAGGAGGAGCACTGGTAAGCACACGGGATACGCGGGAGGGTTCCCTCATGGATCAGTAACTGTTTACAAGAGGAAAGAAAGGCTAGTAATCAGTGCTCAGTTTCACAATGGAGAGAGGTTCAGGGCATCCCTGCTATAATGGGTCCCGGTATACATCTGTTCTGCACTAAAGTCGTTGATACTTGTAGGAACTGATGCATTATAAGTCCTCCTGTTCCTTGCTCTTAAGTCACGCAAACAAAAAATCAAAACTAATTTGTACAAATGGAAGTCAGCTGCAGGGGAAAAAATTCCCTGCTTTCAGTTGTTTCGCTATAAGTCCAAGCTTTTTGGAATGTATCTTGGATTTATAGCGAGGACAAGGTCCTGCAGGGGGTCTGTGCTGGGACCAGAGCCATTCAACACATTCATAATGGTCCAGAAAAAGGGGTGAACAGTGAGGTGGCAAAATCTGCAGATGATACAAAATTACTCAGGATAGATAAGTCCAAAGCAGAGCATAAAGCGTTACAAAGGGATCTCACAAAACTGGGTGACCAGGCCCCATGAAGGCAGATGAAATTCAGTGTTGACAAATGCAAAGTAAGACACACTGGAAAACATAATCCCAATTCTGCATGTAAACCACTCAGGTCTAAAGTAACTGTTGCCGCTCAAGAACGAGCTCCTGGGCTACGTCTAGATTGCAACCCTTTTTCGTAAAAGGGATGCAAATTAGACGTAACGCAATTGCTAATGAAGCGGGGATTTAAATCTCTCCCGCTTCATTAGCATAAAAATGGCTGCCATTTTTTTTCGGCACGGAGCTTTGCCGGAAAAAAGCGCCAGTCTAGACGCGGATCTTTCGGAAAATAAAGCCTCTTAAAATAAGGGATAAGAGATTTTTCGGAAAAAGCTTTATTTTCCGAAAGATCCGCATCTAGACTGGCGCTTTTTTCCGGCAAAGCTCCGTGCTGAAAAAAGCAGCAGCCATTTTTATGCTAATGAAGCGGGGGAGATTTAAATCCCCGCTTCTTTAGCAATTGCGATACGTCTAATTTGCATCCCTTTTACGAAAAAGGGTTGCAATCTAGACATAGCACTGGAGTAATTGTGCCTAGTTCTCGGACAACATCTGCTCCATGTGCAGCAGTTGTCAAAAAAGCGAACCGAATGTTGGGAATCAATAGGAAAGGGAGATAAGACAGAAAATATCATAATGTCACTGTAGAAATCTGTCGGGTGCCCACACCTTGAATACCGCGTGCTGATCTGGTTGCTCCATCTCCAAAAATTGGAAAACAACGAGTAGTCCAGTGGCACCTTAGAGAGACGAACACAAATATAGATAGTAGCATGAGCATTTGTTGGCAAATGGGTTGTGCCCACGAAAGCGCATGATACTGTCTATATCTGTGTTAGTCTCTAAGGTGCCACGGGACAACTTGTTGTTTCAAAGTTACAGACTAGCGCAGCTACCCCTGTGAGTTGGAATTGGAGAAAGTGCAGAAAAGGGTAGCAAAAACTATTAGGAGGATGGAACAGCTTCCATGAGAGACTAAAGAGACTGGGATTATACAGCTTGGAACAGAGAGCACTAAGGAGGGGAAAGGACAGAGGTCTATAAAATCAGGATGGCTGTGTCTAGACTGGCAAGTTTTTCCGCAAAATCATCTGCTTTTGCGGAAAAACTTGCCAGCTGTCTACACTGGCCGCTTGAATTTCCGCAAAAGCACTGACAATCTCATGTAAGATTGTCAGTGCTTTTGCGGAAATACTATGCTGCTCCCATTCGGGCAAAAGTCTTTTTCCGAAAGACTTTTGCGCAAAATGGCCAGTGTAGACAGCAGAGATTTCTTTTCCGCAAAAAAGCCCCGATTGCGAAAATGGCAATCCGGGCTTTTTTGTGGAAAAGCGCGTCTAGATTGGCCACGGACGCTTTTCCGCAAAAAGTGCTTTTGCGGAAAAGCGTCCTGCCAATCTAGATGCGATTTTCCGAAAATGCTTTTAACGGAAAACTTTTCCGTTAAAAGCATTTCTGGAAAATCATGCCAGTGTAGACGTAGCCGATGGGTATAGAGAAAGTGACTAAGGAAGGGTTATTTACTCCCTCCCATAACACAGGAACCAGGGGGCACCTAATGAAATGAACAGGCAGCTGGTTTCAAACAACCCTAAGGAAATATTTCTTCACACAACACAGTTAGCACTTGTTGCCAGGGGATATTGTGAGGGCTTAAAAGGTAACTGGACTCAGAAAAGAATTATGTGAGTTCATGAAGGACGGGCCCATCAATGGCTATTAGCCAAGCTAGTCAGTGACACAACCCCATGCTCTGGCTGTCTCTTAACCTCCAACTGTCAGAAGCTGGGAGTGGATGACAGTGGATGGATCATCTAACACAACTGCCTGTTCTGTTCCTTCTGGGGTACCTGGCACTGGACACTGTCAGAGACAGGACATGGTCCTAGATGGACCATTGGTCTGACCAGGTATGGCTGGTCTTATGTTCTTAAGCTGGTTGAGAGTGTACTACAGGATAAGGGGAGCCAGAGGGAGGCCCTGAACGACAGTGAGGAGAGTGCCAGAGTGGGGGTATACTATGGGGTAGGAGAGCTATACCAATGGGGAGGCTGGAGGAGGCCTAGGGTCAGAGTGGGAGGTTATGGGGGCTGAGCCAATGGGGAAGTTGATGAGTTGGAGGCCAAGGGTTGGGGTGGTAGGTACTGGAGGGGATGGTAGGACCAAAGGGGGTTCATGGGGGACTATACCAAATGGGGAAGTAGAGAGGTGAGAGTTTGGGATGAGGGTGTGAGGGGGCCTGTACCAAAGCAGAAGTAGAAGGGTGGAGGTCTGGGGGACCATACCAATGGGGATATAGAGAGGTAGTAGTCTGTGTGGCGGTACCAACAGGAAATTAGAAGGGTAGGGGTCTCAATGACTTTACCAACAGGAAAGTATAGGGGTAAGAGGCTGGGGGACTGTACCAATATGAAAGTAGAGGGGTGGGAGGTCTATGGGGCTTTGCCAATGGGGAAGTAGAGGGGTGGGAGTCTGGGGAACCATACCAATGGGAAAGTAGAAGGGCAGCTTCTCCTTGTAAATCTCCTCATCCTTCTCCTGGAAGACACAGATCACCAGCCGGTCAACCTGCCAGGTGTGAGCGGGGATGTGGGTCAGTGGGGGGGATGGACTCCTTTGTCTCGGGGTGTGGGGGGAGGGCTCAAGGGTTGGCAGAGCTGAGAACTGCAGGTCTGGGCACTTGGTCCAATGGGAAAGTAGAAGGGCAGCTTCTCCTTGTAAATCTCCTCATCCTTCTCCTGGAAGACACAGATCACCAGCCGGTCAACCTGCCAGGTGTGAGCGGGGATGTGGGTCAGTGGGGGGGATGGACTCCTTTGTCTCGGGGTGTGGGGGGAGGGCTCAAGGGTTGGCAGAGCTGAGAACTGCAGGTCTGGGCACTTGGTCTAAACACACACCACATTCACACACACGTGCATGCTCACATACACCCATGTGACTGCTCACCCCCTCACCCCCACGCACAATGCCCAAGGGCCTCCATGGCCAGGTGGTCACAGGCTGTTCCATGCACACTCCCATCTGCCCCACTCAGGCCTGGCCAAAGAGTGTGCAGGGCCCAAGGCAGCATGCTGAGCTGCACAGCTGCGTAGCTCCCGGCAGGGTGGGCAGGGCTGGGAGCTGGGCAGCGCAGGGCCCTGAATGCGCAGAGCTGCGGGGCCCTGAATGCACGGGGCCCAAGGCGACTGCCTTGCTTGTCTTGCCCAAAGGCCAGGCCTGGCCCCACTGTTCGCATCCCCTTGCTCCCACGGGCTGTGAGGTGCTCCTGGACCTGCCGCACCCAGCAGGGGGTGCCCCGCGCTTTCTCCTTGTTCACCTCCAGCCACTCCCGCAGCGTCCTCAGAACGACCTCGGCCGCGGCATCATTGGGATACCCTGGGGGCAAAGCAGCACGGATCAGAGCCAGGGTCTGGAGCCATCCCCCCACCGGCTGGGCCAGGAGAGGAGCTCAAGTCCCTGACCCAGCCCGTACTCACCGAACACGCCTGTAGAGAGACAGGGGAAGCAGCGTCCTCAGAACGACCTCGGCCGCGGCATCATTGGGATACCCTGGGGGCAAAGCAGCACGGATCAGAGCCAGGGTCTGGAGCCATCCCCCCACCGGCTGGGCCAGGAGAGGAGCTCAAGTCCCTGACCCAGCCCGTACTCACCGAACACGCCTGTAGAGAGACAGGGGAAAGCCTGGGAGGAGAGAGAGCAGGTGAGAGAGACGCCTGCCACAACCGCAACTGCCACCCCGTATGGCTGGCCCCC